CAAAGTTTAAAGTTCTTGTTTGACATGTTTGTGATGAGTCTGGGGGATAGGGGAATAAATAAGGATATCATCCAGGTATACTAGAACAAAATAATAAATATAGCCTCTGAGCACATCATTTATAAAGTCCTGAAATACGGCCGGAGCATTACATAAACCGAAAGGCATGACAAGGTACTCGTAGTGCTCACTTCTAGTGTTACATGTGATTTTGCACTTCTGATCTTCCCTAATTCTTACCAAATTGTACGCACTCCTAAGGTCAAGTTTAGTAAATACCTTAGCAGCCTGGAGCCTGTTGTATAATCCTTCTCTCACCACCAATACTTCCAATTGGTATCCTTTTGTGAGAAATCCACTCTGCGTTGTGTATTAATAGTGAATGTAATATCCCTGTGTCACCTCTTCCATGAACTAACATATCTTTATCCCCTTGTCCAGATAAATATATGACTAGCACTACTAAAGTATTCTACCCGATATTACAAATAAACAGCCAACACCATAGTTATTACCAGAGAGAAATCTTTACTTAGAATCTGCCCAGTTAAATATTACAGAAGATGAATGTTACAGTTATATTATTACAGAGTTACAATACATTCATAACATTCACACATTCCATCTATCTAATATTTTTTGCTACATTGTGTATGTGGTGTGAGATGTTGTGTGCAGTGTGTGTGTGTGTGTGTGTCTTACCAGCCTATTCCAATGTGATGTCAGAATCTTCTTTTTTTAAAGGAATTGGTTCCCATGTTGTACATAGCCAATTCCTCAGCTCACCTGATATGTACATGTGATTTACTTTCCCAAAGCCTAAAGTGTTGTATATCCTGTTATTTTATTTAAGTGCAAACTCTCCCAGCCATCCCCTCGCCTCTAACCTAAGGTGTGTTTTCCTAGATACTCTCCCCCACTTAAATAAGATCTAATAAGGAGATTATTCACATACAACCCCGCCACCCACTCTGATTTCTGCATATTAATAATCAAGGCAAGACCTACACATTTATTTTATACCCCTAAAATGGACATGAGCTCTAATACTTGATGAATAAAAGCAGTATATATATACACACAGGAGGTCATGCAACGAACGTGGAATGTAAACCACGTATACACGCAAGATTATGGCCTGAACCTGACCATTGGGAAAACACTCTCATGCCATATTTGAAAACACTGCATATACACCACTATAATTAAGCATTGCCTCAAAGTCATATAAACCGTACATTGAAATAGATTGATAAATAACATGTGTTATGACCTGTCACAATGTTTTCCATGGAGGCCTGTGAGCCTCATTATCTGATTTCTTATTGCTTTTTCCTCAATAAAATAAGATTTGCAAAAAAAAACATTACTCTGTCTCCAAGCTGATGCTCTGTTATATAACCTTTTGGGAAAACAAAAAACAACGACAAAGCATCAAAGATGTTTGTCAGCATGCAATCTATAGAAAACTGACAACGGTCTGTTGCCATACAAAGATAAAAATAAAAAATCAGCTTGAGGCTATTTTTGTTGGTAACCATATATAGAAACAAAAGAAAAACAAACATACCTACAGATGTAAAGAAAAACAAAAAATGATGGGAGTTATTAATTGGTGGAGACCCTCAATTGATCAGTCTTTCCCTCCTCTCTCATCTGTTCCCTAAGCACTTTTACATCTGCCTACAATCTCTCAGTCTGTCTCTTCAGGTCCCAGTATTCTCTATTCCCTTCTTTATTCCTCCAATTATCCAAATTGCTTCTATTGGTCTGATCATCCCATCTATGATTCCTTCTCCAATTATTCTCCCAAAACCTGTTCCTGTTGTTTCTTCGTTTTTCTCGCCAACTGTGATTTTCCCAGTTATCTCTCCTTTTTAGCCTCTCCCAATTATTATTCCAATTATTGTTGATTACCTGATGCTCCACCCATCTATTTCTCCAATTATCTCCCATTAAATTGCTCCCATTAGCACTATTCCTATTCGCTCTGACTTTTGTCACTACCAGATTCATTCTCACCTCTAAAATTTCCCATATGCTGAAATCTATTTCCCCTGAATGGTTTCTGTGGATCGCTCTGTCTTTTGTCACTACCAGATTCATTCTCACTTCTAAAATTTCCCATTTGCTGAAATCTATTTCCCCTGAATGGTTTCTGAGGATACTCTGGTCCCTCTACTCGTAAAATCCTTGCAGCATCAACAGCAAAACTCAAATTTTTAACCTTTCTTCGCCTCAAATGATCAGCTTTTAACAGTAAATCACACATATCTGATGGGTTTGAGTTTACAGATATTATCTCATCTTTAATATCTTCCTCTAATGGATCCAAAAACATTGATCTATGCACCAGCCCTGTCTGTTCAAAACCAGGATTACTGACACCAAACTGTTCCATCAATGTGGAGATTCTATCTAATAATATCTGCTACATTGTGTATGTGCTGTGAGATGTTGTGTGCAGTGTGTGTCTTACCAACCTAGTCCAATGTGATGTCAGTATCTTCTATTTTTAAAGGAATTGGTTCCCATGTTGTACATAGCCAATTCCTCAGCTCAATTGATATGAAAATGTGATTTACTTTCCCAAGGCCCAAAGTGTTGTCTATCCTGTTATTTTATTTAAGTGTGAACTCTCCCAGCCATCCCCTTGCCTCTAACCCAAGGTGTGTTTTCCTAGATATAGACTCCCTTGAAGACTAGTTGATATGTAAATGTGATAACCTTTCCCAAGGATGTAGCGGTGCCTTTCAGGTGCTGTATCTTTCCAACTATCTAAACAGAAACGCTTTGAAGATAATTCCTGATCTCCCATACAGACAGACTTAAATCAAGCACATATTAATCAGATATATAATCGTAATATTTTCCCCAACAGAGCCTATCAAACAATTCGGAGATAAGAGGAATGGGATGGCATTTTTTATTGTGATCTTGTTTAACCCCTTAAAGACACATGACATGTATGACATGTCATGATTCCCTTTTATTCCAGAAGTTTGGTCCTTGAGGGGTTCAAGGACCAATATAGGCACCCAGACCACTTCAGCTTAATGAGGTGGTCTGGGTGCCTGGTCCATCTAGGGTTAAGCCTTTTTTCTATAAACATAGCAGTTTCAGAGAAATTGCTATGTTTATGTTAGGGTTAATCCAGCCTCTAGTGGCTGTCTCATTGACAGCCGCTAGAGGGCTTCCGCGTTTCTCACTGTGAAAATCACAGTGAGAAGACGCCAGCATCCATAGGAAAGCATTGTGAATGCTTTCCTATGGACTGGGTGAATGCGCGCGCAGCTCCTGCTGCGCATGCGCATTCAGCCGAAGAGGAGGAGAAGAGGGGCGAGAGGAGGAGGAGAGCTCCCTGCCCGGCGCTGGAGAAAGAGGTAAGTTTAACCCCTTCCTCACCCTAGAGCCCGGCGAGAGGTGGACCCTGAGTGTGGGGGCACCCTCAGGGCACTATAGTGCCGGGAAAACGAGTATGTTTTCCTGGCGCTATAGTGGTCCTTTAAAGGCCTGTAATCAATGCATGGCCATAATTCCCCATCTTTTTTGGATGCAAAAAAGAACCCTGCTCCAGCAGGAGAGGATGACTTACGTATGTGGCCTTTATTTAGAGAATCTTTAGGGAGATATGCAGGGAGACCAGGTAGCTGCCTGCCGAACCCCAGGTAAGTTGACAACATCTCTGATGGCGTGGCTGCTATGTTTGAGTGCAGCCACGCTGGCAGAGATGTCGGAGTTCGTGACAACGACGACCTCATTGAAAGAATAAAAGAAATGGAACTACACTCCAAAACAGAGAATCAAAAATTAATTTGTAATATGTCAGATGTGGAGGATGATAGCAGAAGAAAGAATATTAGAAATAAAGGCCTACCGGATACTATTCTGCAAAATGAATTAGAGGACTACTTGAAGGCTCTGATGTATTCTATTAACCCATAATTTACAGACTTGGAATTACAGATTGATAGAATACACATACTTCCAATACCAAATTCAGCTCCTAAAGAAGCACCTAAAGACGTGATTGCTAGGATTCATTTCTTCAAGGTGAAAGAAGATTTCATTTGGGCGTTCAGATCTAAAAACTTCCCAAGCAAATTTAAAAACAACAAGATTTTTCAGGACTTCTCCCCTGCCACAGTTCAAAGGAATTCAGCCAACCTAAGGAAAAGAAACATTAAATATAGATGGGGGTTTCTAGAGTTGAGCGGACACCTGGATGTTCGGGTCCGGCGGGTTCGGCTGAACTTTAAAAAAAAGTCCGGGTTCGGACTTGAACTTGACCCCGAACCCCAACCCCAACGAGGTCAATGGGGACCCGAACTTTTGGGCACAAAAATGCCTCTAAAAAACTCCTGGAAAGAGCTAGAGAGCTGCAAAAGCTAGTAAATGGGGGTAAGAGTAGGACAAGTGCCCTGCAAACAAATGTGGATAACATAAAATAACATTAAAACTGAGCCATAAAATAGCACTAGATGGAATCTTTGATTTTAGCTTTGGAAGAACATAAATCAAAATCTAAAGCATGGCTGTCAGGAGAATCAACAGAATTATCCATTTGAGAGAGGGTTGGAGTGCAGGGTATTCTCTTTCATTGTTCAAACTGAGCTCAACTCCTGATGCATGGAGAAAAGGCCTTCACAAGCCTCTGCTATTGTTTACGTAGTTTATACTAAGTGACCCATAGGTTGAGGAGGCGGTGACCGTGGCGGTGTAGGTGGAAGCAGCGGTGGAGGATGAGGTAGCCAACACTGTTTTTTTTTTAATTGTGGTAGCCCACAAAATAATGGGACATACAAAAAAAGAAATATCTGAGGCCTGCGATGCATTTCTTGCAGTCCTGATGCGTGGAGAAATGCTCAACTCCTGATGCATGGAGATATGGCCTTCACAAGCCTCTGCTAATGTGTACCTAGTTTATACTAAGTGACCTATAGGTTGAGGAGGTGGTGACCGTGGCGGTGTAGGTGGAAGCAGCGGTGGAGGAGGAGGATGAGGAAGCCAACACTGTTTTTATATATATATATATATATAAATATATATATATATATATATATATATATATATATATTAATTGGGGTAGCCCCCAAAATATTGGGACATATAAAAAAGACAACTCTGTTGAACCGCGGGCAAATCGCACATCCCCGTGGCTGTGACTTTGCATGCGGATGTCATCCATATCAACTTTCGATGCCAGTTTCTGCACCTACCATGGTGACCACGGGTAACAGGAAATCAGGGTTCGATTCCGGAGAGGGAGCCTGAGAAATGGCTACCACATGCAAGGAAGGCAGCAGGCGCGCAAATGACCCACTCACGACGCGGGAAGGTAGTGACGACAAATAACAATACAGGACCTTTTAGAGGCCCTGTAATTGTAATTAGTCCACTTGAAATCCTTTAACTCTGATGAAATGGAGGGCAAATCTGGTGCAGAGCGACTGACCCATGCGTGCCGCAGCTGAAACTCCACTATAAAAAAGAAGTGCCCACAATATGGAGGTGAACTAATATACAAGCTCAAATACCTAGAAAGTGGTATCCCCTACACCACTTGCAAACATATTATACATACATATAGAAAAGAAACTCCACTATCGCCTGCTGCTGCTCGCACAGTCTCATGAGGCGGTGAGCGGGAAGGCCGAAGTTACGCTGCAGCGCAGACAGGCGAGCAGCAGCAGGGTGAGAAAGCCAAAAGCACAACATTAGGCATACTGGGTTCCGGTTGTCCGACCGCCGCCCAGACAGTGTCTGGGTCCTGATCACCGGACTGCCCACCTCACTGTGAAACTATGAATGGATCGTTATATCTGGTACGAACCTGAACTTTGCAGTTCGGGTTCGCTCAAGTCTATTATGGATGCTTTGATCGCTACATGTATTACTTGGATAACTGGTAATTCTCGAGCTAATACATGCCGACGAGTGCTAGGGGACAGCTGCTGCGCTTTTGCACCCTGCTCCCTCTTATGCTGTGCTGGTGCCTCTGGGGACCAGCGCCTCTTCCTCCAAACTGCACACGTCACTCGCATGACCTTGATTACATGTGGGGTCTAGGACCTCATCATCCTCCACATCATCTTCCACCCACTCCTCAACCTTGCCATCCTTGCCGGTAGGCACACTGCAGAAAGCCACAGCAGTTGGCACCTGTGTTTTTCCAGCATGTAAAGTCTGCAAAGGACATATGGAAATTGTTTTAGAATTTCCTCCAGGCAACAGTTTTCCCTATAAACTGACATCTCAGTTTGACTTGTGAGGGTTTTGCACCAGAATTACAATATTGTTGAAGTACCTTATAGCTATTGATCACTGGTTTAAATATAGCAGCTTGTTATCTGGTATTTCTAGTGTAGAAAATATCAATCTGTTTTCTATCACTTAGATCTGTGTAACAAGTGTTGTAGGTGTGAAACAATATTACAAGTGACCGATTGTAGTAAATTCGAATCAAAGTTACGCTTCGATTTGACTCTCAGATATGAAGTGAACACCCCAAATATACTATTTAGCACCAAAAAAAATTGACTTTTTAAAACTCCAATGTAAGCAGCAGATTAGCAGCGAAAATAAGAATATTTACAACTGCGCAGTAAGCGCACTATTTGACGCTTCTATTTGACTCTCAGATATGAAGAGCAGGACACAAAATGTACTATTTAGCATATTAGCACACATCATCTTCCACCCACTCCTTAACCCCGCCCCCCTTGCCGAAATGCACACTGCAGAAAGCCACAGCAGTTGGCACCTGTGTTTTTCCAGCATGTAAAGTCTGCAAAGTACATATGGAAATTGTTTTAGAATTTCCTCCAGGCAACAGTTTTCCGTATAAACTGACCTCTCAGTTTGACTTGTGAGGGTATTGCCCCAAAATTACATTATTGTTGAAGTACCTCTTAGCTATTGATCACTGGTTTGAATATAGCAGCTTGTTATCTGGTAGTTTCTAGTGTAGAAAATATCAATCTGTTTTCTATCACTTAGATCTGTGTAACAAGTGTTGTAGGTGTGAAACAATATTACAAATGACCGATGTAGTAAATTCGAATCAAAGTTACGCTTCGATTTGACTCTCAGATATGAAGTGAACACCCCAAATATACAATTTAGCACCCCAAAAAATTTTTTTTTTTAAATTGACTTTTTAAAACTCCAATGTAAGCTGCAGATTAGAATAGAATGTTTACAACTGCGCAGTAAGCACACTATTTGACGCTTCTATTTGACTCTCAGATATGAAGTGCACCACAGGCCACAAATGTACTATTTAGCAGATTAGCACCCAAAAAATAAGAATGTTTACCACTGCCCTGTAAACTCACTATTAGATGCTTCTATTTGACTCTCAGATATGAAGTGCACGCCGCAAAATGTACTATTTAGCAGATTGGCACCCAGAACATAAGAATGTTTACAACTGCGCAGTAAGCACTTTCTATAAGGAGGAGACTATATTTAAAAGAAGAAAAACTACCACAACAAGAGGACATAGTCTTAAATTAGAGGGACAAAGGTTTAAAAATAATATCAGGAAGTATTACTTTACTGAGAGGGTAGTGGATGTATGGAATAGCCTTCCAGCTGAAGTGGTAGAGGTTAACACAGTAAAGTAGTTTAAGCATGCGTGGGATAGGCATAAGGCTATCCTAACTATAAGATAAGACTAGGGACTAATGAAAGTATTTAGAAAATTGGGCAGACTAGATGGGCCGAATGGTTCTTATCTGCTGTCACATTCTATGTTTCTATAAGCACACTATTAGACGCTTCTGTTTGACTCTCAGATATGAAGAGCAGGCCACAAAATGTACTATTTAGCAGATTAACACCCAGAAAATAAGAATGTTTACCACTGTCCTGTAAACGCACTATTAGACACTTCTATTTGGCTCTCAGCTATGAAGTGCAACTCACTAAAATACTATTTAGCAGTTTAGGACCCCCAAAAATTTAAGTTTTAAAACTGCAATGTAACAGCAGTATTTAACGATTCTATTTGACTCTCAGATATGAAGTGCACCCCATTAATGTACTACCCCACTAATGTACTATTTAGCACCAAAAGAAAAAAATTACTTTTTAAAACTCCAATGTAACCGCCTGTATTTGAAGCTTCTATTTGACTCTCAGATATGAAGTGCACCCCACCCCACTAATGTACTAGTTTGCAGAATTCTTTCCTAAGCTTTCCCTATCAGCGGCAGCATCCTCGCCCTACACTAATAAGACTGCATGTGCGTGCGGTGCTACGCGACTCCAGCTTAAATATAGAGGCTGGGTCACATGCTGCACTGGCCAATCACAGCCATGCCATTAGTAGGCATGGCTGTGATGGCTTCTAAGGGCACACAAGTCAAACGCTTGTTGATTGGCTGCCCTGCAGCCTTTCAAAATGCACAATTAAATCGCCGAACACCGAACTCCAACCCAAACATACAGTGATATGTCCGTGTTCGGTTCTGGGGTCCAAAAAAACCTAATGTTTGGTACGAACCCAAACTTTTCAGTTTGGGTTCGCTCAACTCTAACTATAACATCGCCAGAGGAAAGAATGGAAATTATTCTGAATCTACAATATCCAGTACCTGCTTCTCCCGAACCACGTGATCAACATACTCCAAAACCTCAGAGAAAAATTAGGAGAGATAATTAATTATTGAATGTTTTAATTTTTGTTCTTTCTAGCTAAATGTTATTTATAATTTTAGATTTTTAAGTCAAGTAAAAGCAAATCACTCTGGTTCTTTTTTCTTTTTTATATGTTCTTCGATTTTTGAACTCGTTATGGTTTCTTTATTCTTATTATGTTCATTTTTAACCAACAATGCTAGAACAACTACATGATGAAAATATGGACACTAAGGTATCCTTTTCATTATACTCTTTTATTTTATGATGTATAATTTCTGTTCCTCATCAGGGCCGGCGCGTCCTATAGGCGACTTAGGCAGTCGCCTAGGGTGCACCGGCCCAGGGGACACTAGATTTAGGTGACCGGCAGGAGGGAAGTGCACAGCGCTACCTCCTGCCGGTCACTCAATGTTACGTAGCCGGGCGGTGCGAACCGCGGGACAGGAACTTCTGTTTCCTGTACCAGGCAACCAGCGGAATGACAGAAAGTGCTCACTAAGTGAGCGCTTACCTTCAATCCGCCGGTGGCCAGGTACAGGAAACAGAAGTTCCTGTACTGCGGTCTGTGCCGCCCTGCCATGCTACATAGGTAGGACCACTGAAGGGGTGGGGGGGGGGAGAATGGGGACAGGACCACTAAGAAGGGGGGAAGGAGTTGGAAAGGACCTGTAAGAATGGGGGAAGGAGGGGTAAAGGACCACTGTGGGGGTGGGGGGAGAAGCGAACAAGGACCACTAAGGGGATGGGGGAAAGGACCACTGGGGGAGGAGGGGAAGGACCACTGAGGGGTTTGGGAGAGGAGGACCACTAAGGGAGGGTAAGGACCACTATGGGGGGAGAGGGTAAGGACGTCTATGGGGGAGAGGGAAGGACCACTGAGGGGAGAGGGAAGGACCACTGGGGAGAGGGAAGGACCACTGGGGGGACCACTAAGGGGTTTGGGAGAGGGAGGAGAGGACCACTAAGGGGAAGATGGTAAGGACCACTGGGGGGAGGGAAGGACCATGTGGGGAAGGATCACTAAGGGGTTTGGGAGAGGGGGGAGGAGGACCACTAAGGGGAAGAAGGTAAGGACCACTGGGGGATGAGGGAAAGACCACTAAGGGGTTTGGGAGGGGAGGGGAAGGATGACTACTAAGGGGGTGGGAGAGGGAGGACCACTAAGGGGGGGAAGAAGGTAAGGACCACTGAGGTGGGGAGGAGGGGCAGGACCACTAAGGGGTTTGGGAGAGGGGGGGAGATGGAGAACCACTAAGGGGGTAGGGAGAGAGGATGGCCAGTAAGGAGGGGGAGTTACCACCAAGGGGGGGGGGGACTGCAGAGGGACAAGGGGACAAGGGGCCAAGGGAGAGTAGTAAGAGACAGAATGGAAGATCACTAATTGACAGGAGGGTAGAGCACTATAAAAAAATAAAAAAATAAAATAAAATAAAGAGCTGCTCCCCTCTCACTCCACTCCCTGTGAGAGAACTCATGGGTGGGCCATGTAGGTGGATTTATGGGTGGCCCTTGTATGCAAACTCACAGTCAGGCCCTGGAGGGCCCAGACCTTGAGCTGTGTAAGGGGCCCCATAAAATGGAGCTGCTTCCTGTTTGTTAATTGTTGTGAGCACTGTTACAAACAGTCTCCAGAGAGCCTCTTCTACACCAGACCTGTGGAGCCAGACTGCAGCCTGAGCCCATCATCCTCTTGTCCTCATCTGGTGGTAAGTAGGCAATCCAATATATTAGTGGCACTAATCTCTAATTTACCTCACATTAAAGGGCCACTATAGTCACCAGAAGTTCTGATGTATATAGCCTGTGCCTGCAGGCTTTTTAATTTAAACACACTGCTT